TAAATCTTTAATCCATATTGAGGGGTTTTGTGTGTGAGATAGGGGTCCAGTGAATATCTGCATGTGAATATCCAGTTTTCCCAGGACCATTTATTGACAAGATCATCTTTTCCCCATTGACTGTTCGTTCTGCTGTCAAATATTAGTTGATTGGATATGCATGGGTTTATTTCTGGGGTCTTGATTCTGTTCCATTTGTCTGTTTTGAAGCCAGAACCCCGTATGGTTTTGGTTACTGTAACTTTGTCTTATACTTTGAACTCAGAAAGTGTGAGGTCTCCAGGTTCCCTCTTCCTCAGGATTGCTTCGGCTATTTGGTGTCTTTTGTGGTTCCGTATGAATTTTAGGATTGTTTTTTATATTCCTGTGAAAAGTGCTACTGGAATTTTGGCAGGGATTGCATTGAACCTGAGGATCGGTTTAGATAGTAGAGACATTTCAATGAAATCCATTCTTCCTCTGCTGAGTACAGGGTGTCTTATCTGTGTCCTCTTAGATTTCTTTCATCACTGTTTTTCAGTTTTCAGTGCAGAGATCTTTCACCCCCCCCTTGGTTAAATTTGCTTGTAAGGATTTTACTGTTTTTTATGAAATTGTAAATGGGATTGTTTTATTTGCTTTTCAGACAGTTTGTTGTTAGCATATAGGAAAGTAGTTATTTCTATGTCGATTTTATATCCTGCAACTTTACTGAATATGTTGATTAGTTTTAACTAATTATGCACCACCATTATATTAGAGAATTTGATTTTGATTGTATTGTTACTATTATCAGTGATTTTTGCATGTTTTTACACTTTTACAATGTTAATTAGCATCCTTTTATTTCCACTTGAAAAATGTCCTTTGGCATATCTTGTAAGGCAGGTCTAATGGTGATGAACTCCATCAGTTTTTGTTTGGGAAAATCTTTGTCTCTCCTTCATTTGTGAAGACAGCTTTTCCAGGTATAAGTATTCTTGGTTGACATATTTTTTTTCTTGCAGTCTTTTGGATATGACATTCCACCTTCTGGCCTGCAAAGTTCCTGTTGAGAAATCCACTGACATCTTATGGGGCTCCCTTGTATGTAACTTGTTTTTTCTTTTTTGCTGCTTTCAAAATTCTTTGTCTTTCTTTGATGTTTGACAGTTTAATTATAATGTGGCTCGATGTAGCTCTCTTCAGATACGACCTATTTGGGATTTCTCAGGCCTCATGAACCTGGATGCCCTTTTCTCCCCCCAAGTTCTCAGCCATCCTTGCTTTAAAGGGACTCTCCTGGGATCCCCATAATGTGTATATTGCTCCTTTGGGTGGGTGTCCCCTCCTGTAGATGTTCTTCACTCTTTCACCTTTGTCTCCTTTTGCTCCTCTGACTAGATAATCCAAAAGACTTACTTTGGTTGTTATTGTTGTTTTCCGATAGTTTCTATCTTGTTGAAATTCTTACTGTGTTCATTCATTGTTTTCCTAATTTTGTTTAATTGTGTGTTCTCGTACTTTACTGAAGTACTCTGAATTCTCTGTCAGTTCATAGACCTCCGTTTCTTTAGGGTACTGATTGGAGCTTTATTTGTTTCTTTTAGTGTTTTCCTGATTCTTCACAATCCTTGATCCCTGACATTGGTATCTGTGCGTTTAAGCAGGTGGTCTCCTCTTCCAGATGTCACAGGTTTGCACTGGCAGGAAACCTTCTCGAGTCAGCTGGTAGCGTTTGTGGGATGGGGATTTGCTATAGGGCTTCCTGTTTGGATGAGACCGCTGGCTGTGCTCTGGGGTTGTGCTGTTTGCTGCAGGCTGGGGGTTCTGTGGTCAACTGGACTGGACTCCACATCCAGGTGGGCTTCTGGCCGTGCCCCGCAGTCAGGTCGGGCCCCTAGCTCCACACCTGCTCTTGGTCGGATGGGTTCTCAGGCTGCTGGCTGTCTCTGTGTTCAGAGCAGGTCACAGGCCATGCCCTGAGGCTGGGCAGGGTCAAAGCTGGGCTTTGTGGCTTAGTCGTGCCGTGGACGAGGCTCTGGGGCTGCCCAGGATCACTGTCCAGGCCCCCTGGTTATGCAGGGCCAGGGGCAGCAGTTATATACGGTTGCTGGGTTGACTGACCCTCTGCCCAAGCAGCGCTGCAGCATAGGTTTCATCGCTGTCTGAGTTCTCCACCTGGGCTTTACAGATGGGCTTGAGGCTGTGCCCAGTAGCTGGGCAGGGCTGAGAATTTTCTTCTGTGTCTGGATGAGGCAGTAATATAGCTCACTTGCTGGGGACCCAAATCAGGCAGAACTTCCAATGGGAACTCTTGGGCCAGACGTGGCCGCCAGCTCGGCTCTGCAGATGGACACTGCTGCTGGCTGGGGTTTTTGCTCGGGCGCCGCTGAGGCAGAAACATGGTTTGCCAGGTGGGTGGAGCTGTTGTAAGCCTAGCCACGCTTCTCTGTCTCTGATGTCAAGGCGCCTGTGAGGTGATACCCAGGTGGGCCTGTAACACTGCACTAGCTGGACGTCTGCCTTGAGCTCTCTTTTCCCACAGGAGAAACCAGAGACCAGGAGGTGGTGGGGGGCACTTTCAGTGCGGTGCTGTCGGCCTGGGGCCTGCAGGGGGCAAGGCAGTCCTGGGAGAGCTGGTCCTGTTCCGTCTCTGTGGCAGAGGAGTGCCTCAGCCTTGCCCCTGGGTGCTGGGACGTCACAGTGGTGACCCGTCTGTGGATAGTTGCTAGTTGGTCTTCTTGGAAGGAGAATTGAGGCCGGGAAAAACCTGTGTCATATTGATGATCTGTTGCAGCTCTGCCCGGTTACGTGGTGTGGCTCAAGTTAACTTCGGTATGCAACCAACAACTACGGACGGTGTGTTCACGTACATCGTGGTGAAAGGGAGTGGGTGCTTCATACTGAACAGAGACTGGAAACTAGTTCCTTATAAAAGTCAGGAATAAGGTAGTTTCTTCAAAGTTTCAAGTTTGTGCCCAAGGACTATTTCTTGGATTAGGAAGCATGGGTTTGTTTCAAAGCATGCTGATCCCACGAGAAATGGGATTGCTAAAGAGTGTATCCCCAGCTGGTATCTTCAGTGTACGTGAAACTGGGATCACTCTTAAAAGCTTCACAACATACAGTATCAAGGATGCCTGGGGGGGAAATTACACCCTGGGCTCAGTTGGGCCTTGAAATGGTATTAAGTTCTTCAGGCAACGAAAAAGGATTTGATGCCATGAAAGAAGAGACAAATGCCTTTTACATGGGAAAGGGGAGCTTGAGTAAAATGATTCTGGGCTTTGGAACCAAATGGGAAGAAAAGCCAAATGCTCCATGTGCCTGTTAAGCTTCCATCAATAGTACCAAGCTGCTCGGTGCCCCCTTGCTCTCGCGGTAGGGAAGGAGGCCAGCATTTGCCCATCATTCACTCTGGCAAGCTGTGTGCTGATAGATGGGTTCCATAATTTTATTTCCACAAGTAAGGTGTGAGGTGAGTGATGACTACCTCATTTTAGGAATGATGAAACTGTTTGTTAGAGAGATTCAGCAGCCATGTCTTCAGAATTAAGCTAACAGCCCACTTGGGCACAGAGGTGACTAACCTCTTGTTTAGGTTTTAAAAAAGAGGCATTGGGAAGCAGCACTTCAGTTGGCAAAACTCTGCTTGTAAAGGGATGGATATTAAATGTTTGATCCACTGTAGGCCCAACGGTGCCTGGTGCACCTGCTCACCTCTGCCATTGGAGGAGGAAGCAGCCACAGGTTTTTATTTGCAATGACGACTTGCAAATGAAGGAGCTTCTGGGTGCATTATAAATTTAATTTGCCTGAGAATATGGCAATGTATTTCTCCCTCATAGGCATGAAATCCACATGATTTCCAGCCTGTTTCTATGGTTTCCTTCTAGTGTTCAGATACGTTAATTAGCATGCAGTTCATTATGGATGTTGGTGCCGTTTTTCTACTTCAGATTTGAGGTATTAATTTCATTTCGATTTCCACAGGGTTTAAAAATAGAGCAGAATCATTTTGACTAGCATAAGTCAAGCCTGCGGGTGCTGAAGGAGTCTGTGACAGGAGCCTAGACTTGCATTGCTTTGCCCTTGCCAGGGATGAAGATCTGGCTCTGAGCTTCTGTTCTCCCTTCCAGCAAGGTGAGCCAGCTTCAGTTTTCTCTGGAATAGGCAGTTTCACTCAAAACTCTGGGCTCAGTGGCCTTGCAGGCAATCGAGTGCTCTCAAAATCGGCAGGGCTCCCCTTGGGGTAGGCCTTGGGGAACGCTCTTCATGAAGAGAGAGAGATGAGCCACGCCTCTTCTATTTCGTTGTGAAAAGCATGGAAACCCCAGACCGGCTCCTCCCACGATGCTGGGCCGCCATTTACCGCTGCTCATGGGCGAGGTCCTCCCTGCGCTGTCCTGGGCTGTGGCCTTGCTTTGCTCCCGGGACAGAGGCGCACTGACGGGGGGAGCGTGTGAGTCCAGGTGCCTGGAAGCAGGCGTCCAGCTGCTCCCCAGGAGGTCACGTTCTGAGTCTTGGTGCTCCCTGTTCTGGCTGGGTGGGCCCCACCCTCCCTGTAGGCACCCCTGTCCCTGTTCCTCAGAGCCCAGGAGGCCTGGTGCCCGGGTGCGGAACAGCCTCAGACCCACCGCGGTGGCGGCGCCTGCTCTCTGCCCAAAGCCCGTTTGCTTGTTTTGCGGGTCTGAACGGGACCCTCCTCCTTATGAAATACGCATTTTTAGGAGCCGCTGCCGCAGGCCGTCTTCCCGCTGGCTTCTCACAAGGTCCCCCTGGATGGCGTGCTGGACGACACGGCCCTTTCTGCCCAGGGTCCCCACGTTCAGTGAGAACGACCGAATGACTGAAGCGCCGGATGTCCGTATAGAAAATTCCTGATGGGAAAAATGAGGTCACTTGTAACCTGTTTGTCAGAATATCCAGGTAGACAGGAGAAAACTCAGTGTGCCACCCAGAAGTTTGTTTTATGTAGCAGGGACAGGAGAAATGCAGGTCCTGAAATTTTCACTCTATCTGTTTTTCCTGTTAGCTCTTAACCCCCACGTCCCCAGCCCTCCTCAGCTGGAGGAACTGAGGCCAGCGCTCACCTGGCCAGCAAGTACTGCAGGCACCTGGCCGACAGGGCGCAGCCTGGAGTTCACCTTGGGGCGTGACCGGCTGCTGCGGAATGGTCCGGGGCGTTGCCTGTAGGCAGTGGGCGGAGTCAGAGGCAGGATGCTGGCCGCTGGCCTCTGCTGTCTGGCCGTGACCTCCTGGGTCTCTCAGCCTCCCCAGGCCGCCAGTTCCTCAGCGTGAAGCGCGGCTAATGATGAGCAGCCTGTTGGGGTGCGTGCGGCTCCCGTGAGATGCTGCGCCCATCAGCCCTGGGCCGGCGATCCCGCTGCCCCCCTGAACGCCTCTCCTCCTCCTGTTACGTGTCCCGTGCCTGCTCTGGGGGGTGACCCCCCACCTCGTGTCTGCCTGGGGCCCTCCCTGAACTCAGGGGGACCACAGAGAACTAGTGTTACCCCCCTTGACATTAGGCATTTGCTCTGCCCAGACGGGCCCCAATCCTTCACCTGTTTTGCTGAGTGCAGCCCGGGGCTGAACCCTCAGCAGACACACACCTGTCGGGGCTTTCTGCTTCCCTGGGGGACACGGGCCTCAGCTGTGCCTGCTCCTGCCTTCAGCGTCTCAGCTTTGTGGAGACCACGAGGGTACACCGAGCCCCAGAGGATGCCAGGTAGGTCCTCCCAGTTCCGACTGCTTCCCTGGACCCAGTGGGGTCTTGTTCCCCCTCATCTCCATGTCCTTCTGATGGGCATGGTCCCGGGCCTCTGCCCTCTGGACCCTTACCTGGAAATTTTCTTCCAGCTTAGCCTGAAACTCTAAGTTCCATCTATGCAGAAATTGTGTCCCATCGTCATTATGTCCCCAGCACCTGGCATAGTCGCCCCCCCCCACCCAGGAAAGAGTTGAGGGAATGAGCTCCTGGCCTCTGCTCTGCAGTCTGATTCCAGGTGCAGTTGCTTTAACGAGGCTATTTGGAGTAAGACAGGCTCCATCTCACCCCTGTGACGCTGTGTGGAGCTTGTTAGCCCAGTAAAGGGACACGACGTCCTTGAAGTAACCCCAGTGACCGTGGGGTGAACATCCCAACAGCTGTGCTTTTGGGTTGAATTTCCCAGCCATGGGCCCAATCACTGGCTCGCCATCCTGCTGTGCTCTGAAATCACCTGAGGATGATTTACAGCCATAGATGTCAGGCCCCCGGGCAAACCAGCGGGAACAACCTGTGAGGTTTGAGCCTTGGGCTTCCCTGCAGGAATTCTGCGGCCCAGGGAGCCGAGAACCACTGATGCAGCGAGATTGCCAAGCCCCGTGTGTTGGTCGCTCTGTGAGGATGTCATGGAGAAGCTGGGGTCCTGGGCAGCCACTAGTGGGCTGTGCACGTGGACGCTGCCTGCTGTCTCAGAACAGTGCTTCTTAAATCGGGGCCCCAGGACCAGGAGTCTCAGCATCACCTGGACACCTGCCGGAAATGCGGTCCCCCAGTCCAGGCCCATGAAGCAGGGCCGCCGGGCCTGCACCCAGCACTGTGTCAACAGGCCTTCCTGGGGCTCTGCTGTGGGCGCAAGTTTGAGAACCAGCCTGGGACAAAGGGCACATGCTGGCACCTGGGGAAGTCTGGGTGGGGCTGCGCTCCCTCACCTGTATCATCGGGACCCGTTCATTGTCACACTTGCATCCATCTGTGCGCTCCAGTATCAGTCCAGCCTCTGATGGCCAGGCATCCCTCTGGACTCTGGAGGTGCACAGCCGAGCAACCGGACAAGGTCCCCGGCCTCATGGACCTCGGTCCGCTGCAGAGGGCGGAGGGCGTTTCACAGTGACGGCTGACACATGATGAACTGAAGCCTTCTTCTGGGCCAGGGTAGCTCGTGGCGGGGCACTTGACCCAATGTGAGGATGGCCTTCTGCAGGGGAGCAGCATCTGAGCAGGACCCGAAGGTGAGCATGTAGGTGAGGGATGGGTGTGGAGGAAGAGATTCGGGTGTGGGAAGGGCAGGGACTAGGGCTGTGCAGAGGGTGACAGTGCGACTCGCTGGAGGTGCTGGAAGACGCCAGTGTTGGGAGAGTGATGGGAGGCGCCCTGGACAGGTGGGCTGTAGAGCCCGGGGGCACAGTGGCCACAGCGTGTGTGTGTGTACACAGACACATTCCAGTTGTCATATGTGTAGCACTTAAAGGTAAGTATACACATGCATGAATATGTCTGTTACATATACGCATATAAAATAGTATATGTACACAATATGTAGTATGACATACATAGTGGTGTGTATAGAGGGGCTAGAGCAGTACGGCCGCTGGCTGCATGGTTACCTTCTCGGATTTCAGCCCTTCGTTAGGCCCTAGACATGACTGCGTCACCACTCACTCCACAGCCTCGTAGCCGCCTTGGGGCTTTTCATCTACCAAGTTCACCTCATTTGCAGTGATGACAGCCCGCGGGCCGCGCAGACTGGATTAGCGCAGGGCTCTGCTGTTCTCGCACCCGGGGGCGTCCCAGCTGTCAGTCCCAGCTGTGAAGAGCCGGCTCGGTCCCACTCGCCCTCTTTGCATCAGCAACGACCTGCGCCAGCTAACCCTGATGCACAGCGCTGGAGTTGGCGCTCTGGAAACCGAAAGATGCTGGACAAGAATGAAATGTTCACGTTCTCAGAAGCTGAAGCCGAAGGCCAGAATTTGTTGATCTGCCTGTGTGGCCCTCTAGAGCTCGAGTGTCTCTCAGAAGTGGCTATTCATCATTGTTGAAATGCTGCATGACATTCCAGTCTCCCTAGAGATTCCACTGGATCGTGACTGAGTCTGTGCATCTACTCCTCATATTTTCAAATGCAACTTCAGTTCTCCGCGAAGCGTTTTGTGCTCGAGAGGAGAGGTGCCATGCGATTCCTAGAATCCCTGCAGGAAGTCAGAGTAGCAGAGGCCACAGTGCCCGACAGCCGACTGACCGACGAGGTAGCGTGTGGGAGGCTCGGATTAATTCTGGGGTGTGTGTGTGGATTGGCTGATACATGGAGTGTCATTTCCTCCTGGAGAGAATAGGGAGCTGGCTCTTCTCCGCCTTGATTTCCTTTATTTTTTTTGAGTTGCCCCTTGGACTAGAGATGATGGAGAGCAGGAGAGGGGAGAGCCTCAGACGGGGACTTGAAGGAACCAGTAGTGAGGAGAGGCGAGTGGGCGAAAACACTGGCTGAGACTCGTTTAAAATGACACATTGGCCAAAATCACTCCCTTTTTATTCAGACATTGATAATTTTATTTTGTCAGAGGGGCAATATTTTATGTGCTATTAAGCAATAAAATAGCTAATAAATTAGAGGGGCAATATTTTATGTGCTATTAAGCATTTCTGCTTAGTTTCTAGAAAGTTGAAGATTTTTAATAGTTTTGGATTTTATTGTTTCTATGTTTTACTTCCAGTTTACTTTCAGGCAGTTGTGACTCTCAATTGCTAGTCAATGTTTCCATGAAGTCTTAAAATTTGCAGGTTAGCTGCCAGTGAATTCTTGGTCTGAGAATAAATTAGTTAGAAACGAATGTTTCTAATCACCTGCTTAGATTTTTTGCCATCTGTAAAACTCTTGAATGCATGTAAAAGCAATTTTATCCTTTTTCTGTGTCAATATTTTAAATTGTTGATTCATCTCTAACTAATAGGGTGGCAGCTGGCCCAGTTTGCCTGGGACCGAGGGGTTTCCGGGACATGGCACTTTCTACAACTGGGGGAGCCCCAGGCAGACCGAGATGGTGGTCCCCCCACGTCGCAAACGGCCAGCTCGCCCCCAAACATTCACAGCTCTCCTTCACGGGGCCATGTTTTTGCCCATCCTCCCTTGCGCTCAGAGGTAGCCCTGCAGTTCCCTCCCATCTGTGGCCGTAATGTGGGCGGAAGTGATGGAGAAGCAGGTGCTCCGCCTCCTAACATTGCCTGGATGTTGACCCCCGAGTCACCGGTGGAGATGCAGTGGAGATGGCAGAGCCCCTGTCGACCTGGGCTGGAGGTCGGCTGCATGGGGCCGAGGTGCCCCCCATGGGGCTCTAACTGCAGGACAGAAGCCTCTACAGGACAACAGCAGGGAGGGTGGCAGGCTTCCAGTGCATGGTGCCATCCTGGTCAGTGCAGCTGTCCAACCTCTGCGGGGTTTTTTTTGTTTTTTTCCATTTTGATTTGTATATATATTTTCTTTCTGGTTTAAGTAAATTAAAAGGGGAAACAAAAACAGCTCACCCATTTCTTCCACCCCCACACCCTACTTTTGGCAGCCACCAATCTATTCTCTGTATCTGTAAACTTGGTTATTTATTTATTTAGATTCTCTATAAGTGACCTCATACGTTGTCGTATTTCACTGAGCATACTGCCCTTGAGGTCCATCCATGTTGCCACAAATGTAAGATTTCATTCTTTTTAGTGGCTGCATAACATCCCATTGTGTGTATATATATATACAGTTTCTAAATCCATTCATCCACTTACGGACACTTAGGTTGCTTCTATAGCTGGACAATTATAAATTATGCTGCAATGAACACAGGGATGCATGTATCTTGTTGACTTAATGGTCTCATTTTCTTTGGATATATTCCCAGAATATATTCAGTGTAATTGCTGGATCATATGGTATTCCTATTTTTAATTTTTTCAGGAACCTCCATAGTGCTGCCCACAGTGGGTGCACCAATTTACATTCCCACCAACAGCGTAGGAGGGTTCGCTTTTCTCCACATCCCCGCCAGCATTTGTTATTTCTTGTCTTTTGGATGGTGGCCAGTCCAGCTGGTGTGAGGTGATACTCAGTGTGGCTTTGGTTTGCATTTCCCTGAGGATAAGCCACATAGAGCACCTTTTCACAGGTCTGGTGGCTGTGTGTATGTCTTCTTTGGAAATAATGTCTATTCGGGTCCTCTGCCCATTTTAAAATCAGGTTATTTGTTTGTTGGTGTTGAGTTGTATGAATTTATATATTTTGGATATTAGCCCCTTATCAGATGTACCGCTTACAGGCCCCGTCCCCCATACAGGGCTGCCTTTTTGTTTTGTTGACAGTTTCTTTGCTGTGTGAGTCTCCTAGTTTTCCATTCTCTTGTAAAAATAAGTAAATAATTGCACGGCCAATACACAGACACGGTGACAATGTCTGGTGGCAGCTCTGAGATGCTCTTGGTACACATTCCCGGGTGGGGGGACACCCACTGTTCTGTGTTACACAGGCGGCTTTGGAGGTTGCCTGGCCTTGTTCCCTGGAGGCCGACCCTGAGGGAAATTTCGGGAGGGACAGTGGAAATGGTTTTCAGCCTGGGGTAAAGAAACAGGTCAAATACTTGCGCTCCTGGCCCCATCTTAGAAGGCTCTGATTCCAACCCGTCGAAGAGAAAGCGCGTTCACACCATCCCAGTGTCCCTCTTCAGATGCGTGCATTTAAGCCACTTGACTTTGAAGTCCGTTTAGTTTCTGTTTTTGCCAGGAGTTTTCTGGGTGTAAAGTTCAGAATAGCTGTGTGTACATAGGATGTCCACAGGGAAACGGTAAATTCTGGGTTAGAAAAGGTTCTGTGACAAGTGCCCTGCATGTTTAGCGCGACTGTTTGCAGAGGCAGGGGGCACCTTAGAGATCAGGAGAACACGTGTGTCTCAGTCCTGGGCCGAGCCAGGGCGTGTCTGGGTCTAAACGCCGACATGGATTGAGTAACTAGAAAATGTAACGGGGGAAAACAAAGACCCTGAAAAAAAATAATTAAAGTTTAAAAGATGTTACGGGGATGAGGGGAGGGAAAATCCTGTACTGACAGGCTGGACACGCAGGATTTTCGATCTGGAAGCATGAGGGGATGTGGGGTGGACACTGAAAGGCCAAGCGACAGCCGAGGCTCCGGAGACTCTCAACTTGCTCAGCAACCTTGTGAGTTTCCCTCCCTGCACACAGTTCCCCCCCGACCCTCCGGGACGTGCGGATTGAATGGCATTGGGATGAGCAGCCTGTCTGGGGCCAGGGGGCTTGACCTGGGGGTGTGGGTGCGAGGCCTGCCGAGGTAACTCTTTGGACTGAGGACTGACCGGTAACTGGTTAGATAAGCCTTGTACCTAACTAACTACAAGGCTGAGTGTCCTGGGACCTGTCCCAAGTTAAGGCCGACTTCACAGCAGCAGGAAGGGTGCTCTGGCAGCAAGGGCCGGGTGGGCTTCCAGGAGGAGGCGGTGTGGGCACTGGGCTTTGCGGGCAGTAGGCTTCTGGTGGGCAGAGAGTTGGAGTTTCTGTGCCGTGAAGACAAACCCCTGAGAGGGGAGAATATTTGCCCTCACCTTCCAGAAGGGGAAACTGAGTCACAGAAACTATGGAGCTTGTCCAACTTGTGGCAGCGATTAAGGAAGGAGCCGGGGCTGGAGGACCCCACCCTCACCGCCAGCCCGCGCGGCCTGGGAGGGATGCCGGACTGGAGAGGGCGAACGGAGCATCCTGTGTGACAGGGACATCGGGACGCTCAAGGATGGCTGGGTTTTCCTGGGTTTGTTATCTTTATTTTTTAATTGTAGAATTAAATGCTTATCATAGAAAATATGTGAGTGCAAAGAGGAAAAGGAAACAGAGAAACGACCACTGACCCCACTGTCCAGAAGCAAAAGCTGTTAATACGCTGACACATGTCTTTCCACACACACACACTCACACACTCACACTCACAGGCTTCCCCCAGCGGGCTGCTGTTATAAACTGTACGGTGACAAACAGATGCCTAAGTCCTTCTGGCTATTCTGGACAATTTCTGAGGGATAGAGTTCTGGAAATTGAATATAAGGCACAAGCATTTTTAAAGTCACTCCTCCATCTGCAGCCACATTTCTTCCCAAAAAAGTATACATCACTGCTAACCACTGTGTATAAACCCAATCTGAGCATTACTCTGAGAACCCGTGCTGATTTGAGAGGTGGGAGTGACCTCTCGCCGTGCCAGGCTCTGCCCCTTGCTCTCATTTCTTCCTCAGAATGGCCGGGTAAGGAGGCCTTGTTCCTTAAAACATTAATCTTGCCGACTGACTTTTTTGGCACCTTCTTAAGCTTTGCCCCAGACCCAGCTTCGGTTCACTCGGCTTCACAAATGGAGAAACAAGGGTGGGGACCCGAGTATCTTGATCAGAGTCACCCAGCCTGTAAATCTCAGTGACAACATTCAAACGTGGGTATGTGTGGCTCCAAAACCCCCTTTCTCTCCACTGGGCCATCCTGGCGCTTCACCACCAGGTTCTGAATGGGAGTGATGGAGAGAGAGAAGAAACCATCAGTAGAACTGGAGAATTCGGGGCAGGAGGACCTGGTCCTTTCCGCTGTGTGTGTGGGTCATGCTGACTTGGGGCACAGGGACACAGACATGAACGCTGTGGGGTGTGTGCAAGAAGCTGCGGGTTCAGGTCCAGCCCAAAGGGAGAGGAGGCTGAATGTGTGACGGGGTGGCTTGGCCCGCGGGACGGCAGCAAGGGCCAGGCACCCCGAGGCAAAGCTCTGAGAGCAAAGGGTGAGGCCCAGGACAGAGCTATGGCCAGGCAGAGCTCCCGGGGACAGTCAGCGGTTGAGTCACAGTCCTGAGCCTGTGGCCAGGCATCCAGGAGCACCCACCTGCACAGCTGCAGCCGGTCCCCGGTGTCCTGCATGGGCATGGCTGGCGGGGCACCCAGGGAAGCCCAGAGCAGCTGTGATGGTGTGTGGTCTGCAGACCAGCCCACATGATGGGCACAGGCCGGCCAGGCTGCCATGGAGCTTTTCGCCGAGATCAGTCCAGGGCCACTGGCAGGGGTGGCTTAGGGAATTGGACTCATTCTGCAGGAAGTGAAACACAGGTCCTGGGATAGAAATAGGATGAGGGGCTCCCCCTCCTGCACAAACAGTTCCTTCTTGGGGGGCCAGGCTGCCCTTCTGCTCTTCAGACCATCCGAGGACAGATACCCGGAGGGTGTTGGGATCCACCCACCCATCACTTCCTGCTTCTTGACTCAGTGGAACTGACACGTCATGTGGGATGAGGGGGGAGCCTCCGGGCGGTGGGTTGTTCTGGCCCTGGCTGAGCAGAGGGCAGCGTTAGCTTCTGAGAGCAGCGTACACGAGGGTAGTTTAGGGGGCCCATGGGGGCTGGAGCAGGTTTGAGCCCCTGACGCCTGTCAGAGGCAAATGAGCCCACGCTCATCTGCCCCCCTGCACCCGGGAGCCTGCAGCCACTCTGCAGCCGTGGGGCAGGGAAGAACACCCGCCTTTCCTGGATGCCTGCGATGTTGCGGGCAGTATAGGGACTTTGACATAAATCACACGATTCAGTTCTCACCATGGCTCTCCAAGGAAGGTTTTGTCCATATTTTGCAGACAAGAAAACTGAGGCTCAGAGAAGTAAATAAGGTGCCCGAGGCTCAGAGAGCAAGTGGTGGGGTCAGAACTGGATGCCGGGTGAGTTTGATGCCAAATCTGGGAGGCCACGTGTAGCCGTAGCAGGTTAATTCCATCGGCTCCACCAGGGGGACGGTAGAACCTACGGTAAGTGGTGACTAGGAAACATGGAGTCTAGTAACCATAATGTTCAAGTAATTGTACATTAACGATATCAAAATAAAAAAAAAAAAGAAAGCTACCACTGGGGACCAAATTAGTAACCCCAAAGGGAAAATCCCTTATGAAAAATCTCCTTCTGAGAAAGTAATTTTAAAATCTGCACTAGGAAACACTTGGGTTCTGTTACGGCATGGCATGGAGGCAGCTTAGCTGCTAGTGGAATAAGGCAACGTCCCTAGATTCTCCGGTCATAAGCAAGAACTACTAAGCGATTCATGTTTCCCTTTTCCCCTTGGCTTCTAGGAAAGTCTTCCCCAGCAGTCGCACTTCTCTTTATGGTTCGCATATTACAGACTGTTATCTCCTTAGTCTTGATTTTCTATTTGCATTGTCTTATGTCACTGTAATTTCAGTTGCCTCGGTACCTCGTAGAAATGATATAAATAGTTAAATGTGAATAATAAACAGAAGTGAAGTGTCTGCCTCCCACCCCTCCCCGTTCATGAGGGTGGAGCAGCCCCTGACCCTGGGCATGGGCCTCCTGGTGCCCCCAGGGCCGCGCCACAGACACCTTCCGTGAGGCGATGGCCCACAGGTGCTCCTGCCCAGAGGGCCCTGGGTCTAGGGACTGTGCGGAGAATGCACTGTCTGTCGCTAATACTGAGTGGGAACCGGATGACAGTTACAGCCCCAAAATAGGGACTGTCCAAAAGACCAAAGTGTGCAGCATTACCATTCCTGTTGGCCAGTATTGACTCTGGGAAATTGTTGTTTAAAGCCATTTGGTATCTAAGCTCCATGCCCAAGTTTGGAAAAAAAACCTTCAGTAGAAGTTGGAAGGATGTAATTATATAGAATCTCTAAATTCAGGTTCTTGACCCGCCTCCCCGCCTGACCATTAATCAGAGTTGTTACAGTAAGTGTGACAAAAGATGTTTCCCTTAAGAATCCTTTTTTATTCATGTTGATTTCTCATGTTATTTCCTAAGCCTCTGTAGTAGCTGATCGATTGTATTGCTTGAGAATTAAAGAGAAACAGCATCGTAGATGTCATTAGGGGGCTTTTACGTCCAGACCGGAGCACAGGGCAGAGTGGCCCTGGGCCGGGAGGGGAAGGGGACTGTTCAGCCGTTTCAGCCCCTCTCCTGAAATCCAGACGTGGGCTCGCTGACCAGAGCTGGCCCCTGTCACCGTTCTGAGGGCCTGGGAGGGCAAGCCCTCCACAGCTTTGCTGCCCCAGGGGCATGCTCAGCGTCTCCTCCCAGTGCGCCTGGGCGTTTGCTCATCTGCAGGAAGCCCAGGACGACTTCCCTCCCTTGAGTGAAGTGGGGCTGAAGACATCAGCCCTGGGCTCAGTGGCCTGCACGGTAAATGAGGGTCTCCGCGGACCTCCCTGTAGTCCGACGGACTTGCCGGGGCTGTTCCCGCCCGCAGGTCTCGGGGCTCCAGGAGCACCCAGTGCTACAACCCGCTTTGGACAACCTCCTATCAGCCCTCTGGAGTGGGCTTCCCTTCTCCCCTCACGTCGAGGGATATTGTGCCTTCTGGCCTCTGAGCAGCGTCGCTGATGTCCTCCGGGGCCCCTCAGTTTGGCAGGTGGCCCTGTGCTTTAGCGGTTACTGGGGAAGGTGGGACCAGGGAGCTTCGGGGCTGGTTCGCAGTGTCCTCGGGGTGAGGTCCATACAAGCAGAGGAGACAAAGGGCATGGGCTCAGGATGGCGATGGGGGCTGGCACCTGGCCGCTGGCCTCGCTGACTTCTGCTACGCAGGGACTTGCCTCCCGTTCATGATGCGGTGTGACGTGCAGGCTGTGTCGATGCCTCTGAATTGTTTTTCTCCTGCTCCCTCACATCCGCATGCTGCTTCTCATCATCGGCTGCTCACTGTGAGTCACGTTTCCAGGCAGGGGTGGGCGGCGTGGGCCTCTTAGGCTCCTTCTCTGCAGAAGGAATCCGGGGGCTCTGTGTGCACTGGGTCCCAAGGAGCCCCTTTCCTCAGCTCTGCTACCGCCGCAGCAGGGCCTGCAAACTTGATTTTCTATTGTGGACTGAGGCTGAGATCTCAAACCAACCTCAGTCTAGGGCAAGAGTTGGCAAACTGCAACCCTTGGGCCAAATCTAGTCCCCTACCTGCTCTTGTACAGAGACTGTTGGAACCCAGCCGCTCATTGATGAACATATTGCCCAAGGCTGCTTCCACACTATAATGACAGGACCCCGTGTCTGGCAAAGCCTCACACATTATCGAGCCCTTTTTAGAAAATGTTTGCTCAGTCCTGGTCTAGAATGATGTGACCATATTTTTTATTTAGTTAAACTGGAGTGGAGTATTATAATTCAGCGTCCTGGAATATCCAGGCTGTTTGGGGCAGGACCCAAGGATGCTCTAGAGGGATGCCGAACCCTGAAGCTCCTGCTCGCATGTGATGACTGGAAAGGACTGCCTGGGGGGCCAGGCTGAGGACGCTGAGGCTGTGTCTGGGCTGGTGTGGTTTCCTCAGAGGAGAAAGCTGGGCCGTGAGTGATGTAGGCAAGGAGCGCCAGGCAGGAAGTGAGCAAGGTAAACAGCAACCGGGACCGCTCGGCATTGCCCCTGAAGCCAGCACTTGGCATGGCTGGGGCTGGATTATAAACATATCCATCCTGGAGTGGGAGAGAGGGAAGGCTTAAATCCCACCCACTTCGGCTGTGACAGAAGCAGACGAGCTGCAGGAAAGTCGAGGTCACGCTGGTGCTCCGGCTTTAATGGGGACGCCTCTGTATTCACCAAAGGCCAGCAACTTGGCAGTGTTTGTTCAGGACAGCATTTTGCATAAAGCTCATTGGAGAAGAGGCGGCCATTTGTTGATCTGTGCAGGCAGGCAAAATGCCAGTTAAAAATGTTCCAAATTATTTAAAAATGAAAAAGTTTGTGTGATAATGCATGCTTACTGGAGAAAGCAATATAAAATGTGGCTCCTGTCATGCACATAGATATATACCCACCGCTCTTGGTGGTTTTTAAAACTACGTACCCACTCTGTCTAATGTCTGCTTTTTCTGTAAGTCAACAAATGATTCCTCCTTAGTGACCCAAGGAAATCCAGGTAGCAGAATGTCTTCTGCAGACCTTCGCCTGACGGGGTGAATGTGCTGTGACAGTGTGTGCACATTTAGTTTTTGGAACTCAAATCATTTTTTAAATGTATTCAGAGTCTGGCATTCAGGTTAAATCCTTGAAAAGCATACTAGCCACTTCTGGATAAATCCAGCTCTTCAGGCGTCGCATGGCGTCAACATGGGGTGTGACCGCGCTCTGGTATGTGTCTACTGTTTTATCAAGCTGACCTATAAGTTGTACCTGGAGATTCTTGGGGCTGCTGTTCCCTGGAAGTGTAAATATATATGGAGACCCCAGAAAGGGGAATTACGTTACTGTGCGTTGATGTCTCATGCCAGTCACTGAATACCTGTCCCACATTCAAAATTTGGGCTTTTCCTTCATAGCATGAAAAATTGCCAAGTCAACTCTGGCTGACTAGGTTTTCTTTACATTTCAAGTAATTATATGAAGCATTTGAATTGTATTAAGTGTACTAAATCATATCTCACATGGGATCGAGTATTCAAACAATAGAGTTTACGACTTAAATCTGTTGAGAATTTATTTGCATAAAATGCCAGCATTTTCTCAGGGAGCCTCAGGCGCCCGCCCACCCCTCTGGTAAGAATGGCCGGTGAGGTGGGCGTGCTGATGGGCCTGGGAGAAGTTCCGCTGTGGACAGAGCTGGGCGAGGGGGGGTGCCGACGGCAGGGCGGCGCTCAGAGGGCGTTCAGATGTAGAACTCCTCCAGGTCGTTGTCCCCAGGCCCAGCCGGCGCTGCGGGTGGGGGGACGTCTCTGCCTGTCTGCCGGGCTGAGGGAGCCTCATGAGGTAGCCCCGGGGATGGCTCTGCGAGCGGGGAGGCGCTGCAGGCTGTGGTCGAGGAGCTGGAAGACCCTCTGGTGAAGAAGGGGAGGCAGGCCTGGGAGGGCTCCCTGGTCCCCCCCCTCCCCGTGGGCAGTGGTCCTTCTCGGGAACCCTTGTGCTTTGACCCGTGGCTGTGGCGTCCCTCGGCGGGGAGGGCTGTTTGCATGGAGCTGCAGCACCTACTGGGTGCAGAGCAGGCTGAGACCACAGAGAGGCCCGTGTCCACGTCCGTCTCCTGCGCCCCCTCTAGGTCATCAACAGAGAGAAGGTGGCCGTGCCTTCTCCCTGATGCCCTGTGTCCCGGGTCACCTGTGGTTGAGAGCCACTGTGGTGCAGCTGACGGGGCCGTGGAGGGCTCTCCAGAGGGCAGACAGAACAAGGACTTGCTTCTCGGGAAAGGCCAGGGGTGGCTGGAAGGGCTGCAGGCTCGCCCGGCAAGTTCCTGCAGGTGCCCGGCAGGCAGGCGTGCGTGGCTGCGCCCTGGGTATGAACCGTCCAGTGGGGGCTGCTGGCTGCTACCGGGCGTGCAGCTTGGGGTGGTGGTGCTCGGGGCCAGCCTGGAGCGAGGTTTCTGCTCTGCGTACTGAGCTCTGGCCGGTTTCGGAAACTTCCTGTGCACCCTCTGTGCCTGTGGGGAAGAGGGCATATGGCATCAGTGCGGGGCTGGGGGTCAGCCGGGCTCGGGGAGTCATTGTTAAATACACCACAAAACACGCTTTCTGGGGATTGGAAACTGCCAGAAGTTTCCCTGCAAACCGATGCCTGGGGCATGGCAGCAGAGCTGGGCACAGAGCACACGACCGTCTAGGAGGTGTCTCCCACCTGAAGGGAGATGCAGCCCCTCATCATGACAGGGACTGAGAACACGTGAGCTCAGCACGGAGGCACACGGACCGGGGCCTGGCCGGGCAGGAGAACCACCACGAAATGCAGGACGGCGTGAAGGGCTCGCTCCCCCCCAACCCAGGCACCGCTCTTGGAAGGCGCTGAGAGGAGTGCCGCGGTCAGACTGGGACGGGCACAGTCTCAGAGTGGCGGGGACCTGACTCTGGGCACGCGTGAGCGCCAGGATGCGGCCCAGGGATGGCCTGTGGTGCAGGCAGTGAATCTGCGGAGTGAGGGGCCCCCAGGAGGTCAGCCCCTCCTTCTCTTAGGAACCACTGACTCCTTATACATTCTCGTTTCAGAGACGGTAGAGGGAAAGGGGGCTGCTGACCACCAGCTGACCCCACGGATGCCCGGGGCTTGGACAGGCAGCTTCTCCCAGTAGACCGCACCCCCCCTCCTGTTCTCCCCACCCTGCCGCAGTCACCCGGACCCTGCTTCTGCTGTGTGCAACTGGGGGCGCCTTTCCACCTGGGTCTGCAGATTCTCCCCCTGGCCTGGCTCGGTGCACAAGCCTGCGGGCCCAGCCTGCTCCTCAAAGTTCCAAGAAAACACTGGATTTGGGGACAGTAGTGTGGGATCATCTGACTTATGAATCCCTGAAATTAGAAAAGGGGGCTGAGTACAGCTCATAAGCGATGTTTCCGGGCACCGCAGGCCGAGCTCCTGGGCTCCCCCTAGACAACCACCACCGGCCTCCCCGTTAAATGGCCCTGTTTTTTCTACAGCCGCTTGGGAAATTCAGTGAAATGTAACACGTGTTTATTGTGCGCCTATTGCAGGTAAAGGAGGAGAAACTACCAGAGAAGGGCTCAGTCTTCCACTGCAGGAAACTTACATTTCATGGAAAAGGTAGGCGGCAGAAAGAACCCAGACCAGAGGAGGACACGGCAGCTCTGAGGGCGCCCCCTGGCGGCGGGGAGTCTCGGTGGGGGTGGACCTCCAGGCGAGCCTTCGGGGTGGGAGGCAGTGGGTGCGGAGGCCATGCTGGATGGAGGGAGGCTGGGCTGAATGGAGGGGAGGCTGTGCTGGATGGACGAAGGGGAGGCCGTGCTGGATGGAGGGAGGCTGTGCTGGATGGACGAAGAGGAGGCCGTGCTGGATGGAGGGAGGCTGTGCTGGATGGAGGGAGGCCATGCTGGACAGAGGGAGGGGAGGCCGTGCTGGACGGAGGGAGGCCGTGCTGGACGGACGGAGGCTGGGCTGAATGGAGGGAGGCCGTGCTGGACGGAGGGAAGGTTGTGTTGGATGGAGGGAGGCCGTGCTGGATGGAGGGGGGCCATGCTGGATGGAGGGAGGCCGTGCTGGACGGAGGGGAGTCCTCTTGGATGGAGCGAGGCTGTGCTGGACAGAGGGGAGGCTGTACTGGACGGAGGGGAGGCCATCCTGGACGGAGAGGCCAGCACGGAGGCTGACTGTAGGCAGCTAAGCGAGGCACTTGTGGGGGAGCAGCGAGCCGTTTGTCCTGCTTAGAGTCCAGGCGCATGGAGGGCAGCGAGGGGAGGCCACGCTGGGGACGGGTCTTGTGTGCGTGGTCGAGGCCTTGATGGCCTGGGCAGGACGCTCACATACTTACCCTTTCCCTGCAGTCACGTTCTGTCTTAGTTACGGTTTTTTTTTTGGCATATGACCCATTCCTTATATTGGTTTGTGAGATCTTTGTTTGCCTAATTCTGGGTATCTCCTAATCCTAAAGACAGACTGATTCGTTCTTTCAGCCGCCATTGACTGAGGGCCTTTTGTGTGGAGCTACCCAGCAGGTGCGTCTCTACTTTGAATGGGTTGTTGAAGGTGTGCCGAGATCTCTTTCGCCGGCAGATTCCCGAACTGCATGCATCACCTCTAAGCTCTGTTTGTGCTCTTTGATGGGACAGAGGCTTGAGGGCCCCACAGGTAGTTCTGAATGAGGTGGTCTCATCCCCCAACGATTAACGATGCAATGTCCAAGGTAATGTGAGTCACGATGATAAAGTATGTGACAGTACATGGGGCCTGCAGCACAGAGGGACACTGGCTCTGCAGAGATGAAGCGGCTGTGGGAATGCAGGAAGAGCTGCTTGGGAGGTGGGAAGTTGTGCCTGCACAAAATCTCAGAGGCGGACGAGGTGTTTGCGTCCTGCACAGCAGCGGGGATAGCCTGGGAGGGCATGTGGCACAAGCAGCCTGAGCAGGGGCAGGGGGCAGGAGCCGGGCAAGAGGGGAGCCCTGGCTTATGCGCAAAGAGGAGGCACTTGCCCTTCAAGCCCTGGAGGCCTGGCAGCAAGGCTGCACGGCGGGTGTGCGGCAGCAGGACTGCACTGGGGCGAGACCTTCCACCTTTGTAGAGATTCAACACCATTGAGCCACATTTTTAGTTGCTTGCATGAGTTTCTTCTCAATCATCAGTCCAGAGAGTCAGGATTTTCTGGGCAGCCTCTGTCCGGCCACCCTGACCCCTCCTTGATCCTCAGTCCGTACTTCCTGCTTGGACTGTGTGTGCGTGTCCGTCTGTCCATCCATCTCCATGATCTGAGGACCCTTTTCCTGCCCCTTGGGCTCGGTACAGCATGTTGAAATTCTCAAGGTGTCCTAAGGGTGGCTTAAGGAGCTGAAGGGGAAGTACAGCAATTAGGATTTCTGATGGTCTGAATATAGATCCTCAAAGAATATGATGCAAAATGCTTGTGGTACAAGTTTTGACGGTTAAGTGCGGGTCTTCTTGAGGCCAGACTCCACAAGGCCATTCTCGCCATGGCACTTCAGTCTGGGGCAGCTCCACATTTTGTCGGGGGGACATAGCCGAAGATGACAAGGGAGGTTCTGAGCCGAGCCGGCTCCCTGTGCGGAGACCCGTTCCCCAGGGCCTGTGGCTCTGCGTTCGGAGTCCCCCAGACTCCCGGCCGACCCTCCTGGCTCCATCTGCCCTGCTCCCGTGAACAACTGGTCTTCTCTGCGAGGCTCTGTGCTCCCTGGGGAGACCCTGCCCAGGCCTGACAAGCAACAGGAGCTTAAGCATGAAGACTCACAGGGTCAGGACAGGGTCAGGAGCAGCAGCAGAGGCCCAGGGAGCCCGAGAGGTGCCAAGCTTGGTGGCTGTTGGAGAGAAAAACCTCCATCATTTGAATTTGGCTAAATAAGAGAGAAAGTAAATAATGAGGCTCTTCAGAGAAGCCAGCCCTTGGGCATGGGGGCTGCTTCCAGGAGGGCATGATGTCCGTTTGTTAGATGCCTATCCTGTTTCTCCCAAGGGCCAGTTCCCCGGGTGCCCTGGTGCCATTTCTCACCTGGGTGCAGGCACCACCCTGTGACCCCCATCTCCGGGGTCTCACTCGGGGAGCACGCGTGCAGGCTCAGTCTGCCTGAGAAGGGAAGGTTCTGCGATTGCTCCCAGGGTCCCATGCAAGGACCTGCTAGGGGACACCTGAGACAGATGGTGTTATTTTCGACTTAAAAATCAGGAACTGGCAGAGGACAAATACATGGTTTTGCAGAGGTTTTCTTCACTGTGCTTGTTTAACAGGAACTGACATGTGTGTCCTGTTTCTACCAGATCATGAAGGCAGGATCAGAAAACCCTAAGTTCTGCTGCCTCAAAGAGAGGTGTCCCTTCACTGGATGGGTGCCCACACATGCCTGTGCCAGGAGTCCAGCCGGCACCGTGGTGGCTGGCGTCAGTGGCAGGATCTGGGGGCACAGGCTCGGAGGAGGGGGGCTGGCAGCCTCCACATCCCCAGCCTCCGCCTGGCCCAGGGCCGAGGTGCATGTGAGATCTGGGGGACTCGTCCTCCGGCTCAGCCTGCAGGTGGGGCAGCCAGCTTCTAAAAGCAGGGCCTTGTCCATCCTCAGGGTCGCAGAGCGAGGGATGGCGCCTCCTTCTGTGCCCGTCCCCTGGTGGCTGCGCTGTTTCTGGCTTCCCTTGTCTGTCTGACTCAACCGGGAGCACGAATCATCAGAGCTGTTTTAGGAAACTCCCTGGGGGGCTTCTGCCAAGGGGACCGGCGCCGCGCGCTCCCCTCCCGGGACGCCTCCCTCCTCTGCCGGCCCCGCTGCCCCTGGGGCCCCTCCGTCCGCAGCAGCCTCCTGCCTCTTCCCTCCGGAGCGGCGCAGGCCGGCTGACTCGCCGGAACCCAGCAGTGCTGTTCCTCGGTATTTCTGAACTTTCTCCAAGAGCAGCAGAGCCACACGTAAATGGTTCTGCTTAGCCAACCAGACAGGGAGATCGGGCTCCGTCCCTGAAGTCACCACAAACTGAAATACAGGGACTGACCCTTGAGTTTCTCATGCAACTCTGAGCACAGGCAGTTTGCAGGTAGGTGGGGCGGCAGAGCGGTGTGAGCCACAGCAGCTGCGTGAGACTCTGGTGTCCGCAGGCTTGTCCCCCAGCACGCGGACAGAGGCCCTGGTAGAGGCGCTGCTGCCCCCCGGGACCAGGCACCCTGGGCTGCGTCTTGCGGGCTGTCCCCGGCCGGGCAGGCGCGTCTGCCCCTCACTCCCCTCTTCCTTTCGCTTCCTCTTGTTCTGTCCTTGGCAGAAACACAACCAGTGTGGCATCGTCTGCTGGGTAACGAGCCAGAAGTGGCCTTTTGACCCAGGGACGGATGAGAATTAGGGGCATTGGCTGTGGGCTCACAAGAGAAATCAGATTTTTTTCTAAAGAAACTTTAGTGGGTAGTTTTCATACCCCAACTAAGAATACTACCTCCAGGCAAAGCCTACATTGTCTTTTTTGTTTTTACTAAAGTATCGTTGATATACGATCTTATGTTGGTTCCAAATATATGACACAATGGTTCAGCAGTTACCCGTATTATTAAATCCTCACCCCCTCTAGTACAGTTATTATCTATCAATGTAATAAGATGTTGCAGAATCATTAACTGTATTCTCCGTGCTGTACTACCAGCCCTGTGCCCAGCTTATATTGTGATTGCAAATTATTGTGCCCCTTTATCCCCCACCCCCACCTGTCCCAACTCCTCCCCCTTGGCAACCACCGTCCCTTCTCAGTGTCTATGAGTCTACTGATGTTTTGTTTCTTCTGTTTTGTTTTGTTTTTAGATTCCACAAATAAGTGAAATCATATGGTATTTGTCTTTCTCTGCCTGGCTTATTTCACTGCGCATAATACCCTCTAGATACATCCATGTTGTTGCAAATGGGAGGACTTTTCTTTTTATGGCTGAATAATATTCCATTGTGTATATCTGCCATATCTTCTTTATCCATTCATCTATTGATGGACACTTAGGTTGCTTCCAGATTTTGGCTATTGTAAATAGTGCTGTGATAAACGTAGGGGTGCACATGTCTTTTTGAATCTGGTATCTTATTTTCTTTGAGTAAATTCCTAGGAGTGGGATTCCTGAGTCAAATGGTATTTCTATTTTGAGCTTTTTGAGGAACCTCCATATTGCTTTCCACAATGGTTAAAGTAATTTACATTCCCACCAGCAGTGTAGGAGGGTTCCCCTTTCTCCACATCCTTACCAGCATTTGTTGTTCCTTGTCTTTTCGATGTTGGCCATCCTAACTGGGGTGAGGTGATATCTCATTGTGGTTTTAATTTGCATTTCCCTGAAAATTAGTGATGTGGAGCATCTTTTCATGTCCCTGTTCACCATCTGAATTTCTTCTTTGGAGAAGTGTCTGTTCATATCCTCTGCCCATTTTCTAATCAGGTTATTTGCTTTTTGGGTGTTGAGGCATATGAGCTCTTTGTATATTTTGGATGTTAACCCCTTATTGGACATGTCATTTATGGATCTATTCTCCCATACTGTAGGATGCCTTTTTGTTCTACTGATGGTGTCCTTTGCTGTACAGAAGCTTTTTAGTTTGATGCAGTCCCATTTGTTTATTTTTGCTTTTATTTTCCTTGCCTGAGATGTGGTCAGGAAAAAGTTGTTCATGTTTATGTACAGAGAATTTTGCCTATGTTTTCTTCTAAGAGTTTTATGATTCAATGTCTTATGTTCAGGTCTTTGATCCATTTTGAGTTTTCTTCTAGACAGTAATCCAGTTTTATTCCCTTACATGTAGCTGCCCAGCTTTGCCAACACCAGTTGTTGAAGAGGCTGTCATTTCCCCATTGCATATCCATGACTCCTTTATTGTATATTAATTGGCCTTGGGTTTATATCTGGGCTCCTTACTCTGTTCCATTAATCTATGGGTCTGTTCTTGTGCCAGTACCAAATTGTTTTGATTACTGTGGCTTTGTAGTAGAGCTTGAAGTTGGGGAACGAGATCCCCCCAGCTTTATTCTTCCTTCTCAGGATTGCTTTGGCTATTCAGTGTCTTTTGTGGTTCCATATGAATTTTAGAACTATTTGTTCTAGTTTGTTGAAGAATGCTGTTGGTATTTTGATAGGGATTGCATTGAATCTGTAGATTGTTTTAGGCACGATGGCCATTTTGACAATATTAATTCTTCCTATCCATGAGCATGGGATGTATTTCCATTTATTTGTGTCCTCTTTAATTTCTCTCATGAGTGTCTTTTCTCTCATGAGTAGTTTTCAGGGTCTAGGTCTTTCACCTCCTTGATTAGGTTTATTCCTAGGTAATTTATTGTTTTTGATGAAGTTGTATAAAGGCACTATTTTTAAGTCTGTCCTCAGTTGAAGCGAAACTTACCAATAGCTATAATAAACAGAGACATTTTGCAGAAATGTGCATATATGTATTTATAGGAATTGGGTTAATCGTACAATGTTTACTTTGTGCTATAAGGTTTTTAACAACTGGGTTGATTGACTTCTAGAGCTTGCACTTACGTATTTAAACAAATATCCATATTTGCATATAATAGGCACTTAAATCTCTACTGAATGAGTAAATGAATACATGTAAACATTTGAGATAAAAATATCTTCTAAAATTGCTTATTATGAAGGGAGTTTTAGGGTAATCTTACGCATGTGCATGCACACACACACACTTCTCTCTCCTAAATCACAAATCCAACAGTTATTATTTGGTTTTGATAAGATGAAAATAAAAAATCATGAGAACTTTGGTAATACTGGAAAACAGTAGCAACATCTACTGATAAGAAAACTTTCAAGCCAAGAACTGTCTGAGGGGCGCCCCAGGGAGCAGCCCTGTTTAGCATTTGTAGTAGCTCTTGGGAGAAAGTGTCAAGAATCACAGAAGATTCTAAATAGAAAGGAACTGTGAGGACCTGCAACTGCTAGGAAACAACCAGGCCGCTGATTGGCTGTACGTTAAAAAGCCATCCGTTCAGGGAGGAACCACCCAGAAACTCGAGGTCACAGGCCTGGGGACTGGGAGCTGAGGCCGACAGACCTGGCAGCCGAACCTGTAAAGCTGAAAAACAACACTTCCTCTTTGTATAAGTATTGCATTTTTTCCAGAATATTTACAGTATGATTTACGAATTACCCTGCCATTCACTATAAAACAGAGGGAACTGATTTTTAAATTAACAAAGCATCATTAGAATTTGTTCAATTTAAGGAATTTCAAAAGAGAAATATTCCTTGCCACTGTTTGATGAACAGAGCTTAGAAACAGCACTGAAATGATCAGCAACAACTTCAGCAAGAATCCTGTTTCTGGAACCGGAATGGAAGAGAGAGGAAGGCCTGTGTGAATGGGGACATGATCAGAAGGAACAGTGTCTTCATCTTGGGGGTCCTGGGAGGAGGAGGGAGGGAGAAAATGGCAGAAAACCTCCCAAGTCTGGGGAGCGATATGGCCATCCAGGTACAGGAACCTCAGAGATACCCAAGGAGATTTCACTGAGACACATCATAGTCAATCTCTCAACAATCAAAGAGAATCTTGAAAGAGGAAGAGAAAAAAGAGTCATCACAGGTGAGTGAAGCCCGAGAAGGCGCTCAAAAAATTTATCAGAAGAAACATGCAGGCCAGGGGAGGGTGGGATGGTACAAAGTGCTGCAGGAGGAAACTCATCCAAGAACACCGTACTCGGCAAAGCCATCACGTGGAAACAAAACAGGAGACAAAGCCCTTACCACACAAACAATGGCACAGGGAATTTATCACCACCGTGCCTGCCCAACAGGAAATGTTAAGGGAGCTCTTCAGGCTGCAACAGAAGGCGGCTAATTAGTGACATGAAAACATATGAAAGCTTAAAATTCACTGGTAAATTAGTGAATATACAGTCAAATTCAAAATACTCTAATACTGCAATGGTTGTGCATGAATCACTTTGAAATCAAGTATATAGGTTGAGACAAAAGTGTTGAAAATAAGAATAACTATAATACTGTGTTAATGGACACGATATAAAAAGATGTAAATTGGGACATTAATAAAAATTGGAGGTAGGCAGATAAATGGGTAGATTTATAATGCGACTGAAGTTAAAGTTGTTATCATCTTAAAATAGTGGTTATAAGATGTATTATGAAAGTCACATGGTAACCAGAGAGCAATGATTATAATAGATATACAAGTGATACAGAGAAAAGAATCAAAGCAAACCGCTACAAAAAACACTCACAAAGACAGAGAGCGAGAGAGAGGAAGAGAGGAACTAAAGAACTATTAAACAATTGGGAAACAATGGACAAAGTAGTGATAATAAGTCCTCAGCTCTCTGTAATCACTTTACATGTAAACAGACTAAATTCTCCAACTAAAAGACACAGAATAGATGAACGGATAAAACAACAAATAAGACCCATCTATATGCTGCCTATAAGAGACTCTTAAGCTTTAAGGACACTCACAGGCTGAATGTCAGTAATTCCTCAGTAAAAAAGGAAAATCCAAAAGACTCCACTAAAAAACTGTTAGAACAAATAAATGAACACAGCAAAGTCACAGGATACACAATTAACACCCAGAACTCACTTGCATGTTTATACGCTAATAGTGACTGAAAACAGCAGTTTCTTCTGTGCCCTGGACATCAGGCTGGGGTTGGGGCTGGGATAAGAGGGTTCAGGAAGCTCTCCCTACTCTCCAAATATCCCTTGTGACTTGTCCTCCTTTTTATTTAAAAAATTGATGTGCAATTGACGTAAAATCACATTAATTTCAGGCGTACAAGATGGTTCAATATACGTGTATGCTGTGAAATGAGCACCCAGTATTGAGAGGCGCCCCTTGGTGGTCTGGCCCTCGCCTGCTGCCAGGTGCAGTTACAAAGCTTCAACAAGTAGCTGTGCACCAGGTGGTGGTGGCCACACAGGAAGTGCCAGCCGGGTCCTCCTGAGGGCAGCTGTGCCACGTGGACATGCAGAGAGGGCGCCACATGAGCTGGTTAGAGACGCAGGATCGCAGGCCCTGCCCTGGGCCTCTGGGCCCCACGCGCCTGTGGCTTCGGTCTGCTGAAGTCTGAGAAGCTGTGGGCGGGAGGTCTGGGCCCTGCTGGGTCTGCACAAGGGCAGGAGCCCGTGGGTCTGTGAGTCCCGCCTCATGCCCTTGGCTGCACCGGGAATCGCGGTCCCCTGATGGGCCTTGGCAGGTGGGGTTCCGAAGGCCCTCCCAGATGGAGGGGCAGAGTGGGAAGGACCTCTGTCAGCCTGGCCTCCGTCCTCTGCCCGGGAGAGAGGGCGGCCCGCGGGGCCTCCAGCCTGGGGGAGGGCGGGGAGGGGCCACCAGAGGCCACCACACTTTCCCTTTGTCGCCCACCCTGTGTCCAGCGGCTGAAGTCCCATTCAGTCACCAGCAGTCAGCACAGCCCGGGTAGTGACCCCCAAGCGCCCCTGTCGGGCTCTCCTCCTCCGGGCCCTCCTCACTCTCCGTCCCTGCCTCCCACCACCTCCTAACCACAAACCTGGCTTGGCACTGCTCCGCCCACCCCCGCTGGGCATGCCCGAGGTGGCCCACCACCACCCACCTCTGCCCTGCCTTCCCCTCTGTATTCCTCCTGACGCTGGTCACACCTGCCGGACAGCAGAGGCTCTGGGGACAGCAGTGGGCCACAAAGACGCAGCCCCTGCCCCGAGGTGCTCACATGCTGCAGGGGGACAGACAAGCCTGTGCGCCAGTCCCTCTGCACCTTGTTACCAGGGGACAGAAAAGGAAAGTGGGGGATCGTGAGGGGACTCGGGGTGCGGGCCCGAGGGGCGAGGCCGCAGGGGCAGGCAGAGGGTGTCCGGAGGGTCAGCGGCAGGCCAGGGTGCTGGCGCGGAGGGAGGGGCGGCGAGGAGAGCAGAGTACAGGGGAGCCTGGGTCTGCTGCCACTGGGGAAAACTGGCTTGGACTCCCATGGGGTGGCATGGGCAGGCCCTGTCAGGCCTGTGTCCTGGCCAGGCTCCTCTGAGTGCCCGAAGATGTCAGCACACAGGGCAGATGGGCTGAGCCACTGGACACAGGCCTCCATCCCTACCAGCTACAGTAAGAGGGGTACCCCAGGCACTGGGCTGGGAATAAAACGCCAAGCTCACTGTCATCCACTCTCTGCCGAAAGCGTGGCTGACAGAAAGGAATTTTGGGGGATCCCCTGAAGGTGGATGGGATCAAGCCAGTCCCCAGCAGGGGCAGGCAGGGCCACACAGCCCTGCAGAGGCGCCTTGGGGAACCTGCTGCAGTCGTTCCAGAGGGCAGATGAGGGCAGATGAGAGCAGGCTGCTGATGCCTCCAGGACAGGAGAGGGCGGGGCACCACCCCCAGGGCCCAGGGTGCCCCCCGCCGAGGCATGGCTCACTCTCGCCTGCGGCTCCAAATCGTAGTGATGCGCGACTCCCAGTTGGCTTGTGCTGCTGGGAAACTCGAGTCCAACTGGGGCCCGTTTCTGAGAGAACGCTGCCCCACAGAACGTTCTGTGCTGATGACGACTTTCCGGGTCTGTAGCCCCCAGCCCCGTGTGGGCACTGGGAATGTGGTGAGCGAGGCTGAGGAACTGAACTTTTAGTTTCAAATACGTTACAGTCTAAATGTAAACGGTCACACGTTTAGATGCACACGGAAAACTGCCTGTGCTCGGATGCCGTGCTTGCTTCGTCTCACTTTCCTACCAATATTCTTCCCCTACTCCAAGTGCCTCTAGCATCTAATTATTTTTATTAATCTTCTTGTGCGGTATATATCTTTGTCAGCCTCTTAAATCCTTTTAAGAAAATGTGAGATGTTGTTTTAAGTACCAAAAAAAGGAAAACATAGCCGCATTCCCACTTTTTTTGACTAGGTACTTCTTCCCCCATTTTGTGAATATACTCGCTTAGGGGGAGGGGGTCCCGGGGGCAGGGGAGGACAAGCCTTCTCTATTTCTGCTTTGTTCTGTCTTTTCATCTAGGCATTGCTTACACATATGTTCAACTTGTGAAAGTTCACTGAGCCGTATTATACTTAAGACGTGCACTTTTCTGTACGTATATTATTTATACAATTCTTCAATAAAAAGTCAAGAAAAACATGAAGAGAACCCACTATGTTCAAAGCACCAGGATGGTTTTCATTCTAGGGGATGTGGAAAGATTCTTAAAACATGGTCCTTGACTCCAGAAAGCTGTGGTTTGGTATCATCAAGCCTAGGCACAAATTTCTAAGATGCATTTTCCAGAGGATCTCAGACAACGGCTGATGCTGGCAATTCCCCACCGCAGCCCCCTGCCGCCCTCCCCCCTGAAGCCGAGAAAGGAGAGATGCATTTCAGGAGGAGGGACCTGCCACCTTATCAGGTCTTGGTAAAAAACAATTCCAAATTTTTCTAAGAGGCTGCGTATCTCCCGTAACAAAACCTTTCAGCATTTCTCCTCTTAAGGAATTCATGGGGGACGGAGGTCTCTGAAATGTGGAATGTTAAGTCAGTGGAGCAGGATGAGGAAATAAAATGCAATCTATGTTTTCACAAAGCAACTAAAAACTACCCAACGAAGATTACCTTCAGTGCATAATTCCACCCAAATGAATAAAAGACATTTATATTAAAAAATATGGTTGGAAATGAACTTGGACAACATACACGAAGGTGAATGTGGCAAAGGTACTCTCAGCTGTGTCTCTCTCCCCAGGACCCAAATATGTTAATTTTTCTAAAGACTTAAACATAAATTTTTACTTTAACTGGGACTTAAAGAGATGGGTGGGTACATGTCCTACTAGAACAGAAGCCTGCCTCTCACTGTGGCCCAGCCACGGTAGCCTGTTCAAACAGCCACAGTCAGGAATTAGGAGGGGCTGTTTGTCACTTCTGCCCACATTAATTTAATTCCTTGACACGTCCCTATGTTGAACAACGGCCTGCATTCCTGAGACCCAAGGTACAAATCTTTTTCTTACTCTTTTCACACTTTGATGTGCTAACTCAAAAATATTCTAATACGGCGCAGAGTAAGTTCCTTCCAAAACAATCATTCATTTGGGTCTTTTAGTGTAAACAAAATCTGTCCATTAATTTTTACTTATTCAAATGCATTACATTTTACAGACAGAACTGACAGTCTCCAAACACATGAGGATTTTTTTTTTTCCTCACATTTCAGAAGGGATCTGGAGCAAATACTACCTGACTTCAGTTCACTAAATAATAAAGCACTATTGTTTCTTATTTGCACAGTTCAAAGGGAAATCCGGAAATGATCTTGATCTTATAAATATTAAACATCTCAAGGTGACCTTTCTGACTTGAGCAATATGGCCTGACAAGTTCTAACCACTTAGCTGACAGGCACCAAGTTCTCACTTCACTTTGTAATACGTGGATTATAGTTATGAGTTCAACGCCCAAAGCAGCAAAAACTATGAAACTTCACCTGCGAGTCAAGTCACTACAGCGTGCACCTTTCAGGACACTGCCCCTAAATTCGCCGCCGACGTTCTCCTTTCAGGCAGCCACGTGTGAAACAGGCACCGGAGCAAGAGGCTTTGCAGAAAAACAAAGTTCTATATACCTGGAAATGACCTATGTGTTAACTCAAGAAAGCGCGGGTTTGGAAAGAGTTAATCAGGCAGGGAGAGGTGTGGGGTGTTCTTTGATGGATATGAATCTTGAATTCCGGGGTGTAAGTAGTGATCTGGAAAGAGTGTCAGACAAACATTGGAGGACAGGAGGCTGGAGAGGTCCCACAGAAGGGGCAGGGCGTGCATGGCCCCCACCTCCTCAAAATGTGTCCAGTCACCGTCCCGGAGCTTAGAGAAGCCAGAGGCCCAAAGGCATCAACACTTGATGAGAACGTCATTGTTCAAGTGATGACTGAATTTTAACCGACTGCGGGCAGAAGAAGGGTGGCGGACAGAGGGGGGGCACCACAGGGAGGGGGAAACCAGGCACATTCCCTATGGCATGTTGGGTGGGGGGGATTTCCTGAAGCTCCTCTGGGGGGGCGGACGGTACCGGCAGACCCCCGAGGGGCGAGGGGCGGGAGCTGGGAAGGCGGCCAGGGCGCCAGGGGTCGTGGAGAGGCCCGAGGCCCAGGGCGAGGGCCTGGGGGACGCGGAGCTCACCCGCCCGCGCCCAGGTACCTGCAGGAGGATCCTGTTGCCGTCGTGGTCCTCCGTCTGCCAGCGGCCCGCGCTGATGGGGCTGCAGGGCCTGGGCAGGCGCGGCACCAGCTCGCCCAGGTCCCCGACGCGGAACTCCAGGACGCACGAGTCGGCGGGCGCCGGCGCCTGGCCGCAGGGCAGCCTCTTCAGGGAGAACTGGACGTCGGCGGCCGGCCCCGAGAACACAGGGAAGACGCAGAAGTCCGCCTTCCTCTGGCTGGGGCGCCGCCCGAGGATGAGCCCGTAGAGGCCCAGCGCGTCCGCGTAGCTGTCGTGGCGACAGTAGACGGTGAAGCGCACGGCCTCCCTGCCGTAGTGCACGGGCCGCACGGCCCACAGCGGCGTCCCGGGGCCCAGCGAGAAGAAGTCCTGGCTGCAGGGCAGGTAGGGCCGCAGCCCGCCCGGCGCGCGCTCCGCGTGGTGGTGGCGCCAGGGCGGCCGCTGCAGCGCGCGGTGCGCCCGCAGGATGGGCTCCTGGCCGCCCGCCTCGCGCAGGAACAGCACCACGGCCAGCGCAGGCTGCGCCGCCCGGGGGGCCTTCCGCCGCCGCCAGGGCGCCCTCCGCTCGGAGACCCGGAACAGCGGGAGGCCGGGGTGCACCCAGGCCAGCAGCCCGTCCACCGCCTGCTGCAGGGGCTGCGAGGCCCCCGGGTCCGAGATGATGTGCGCGCTCACCAGGAACGGGTCCTGCGCCTCCCCCGCCGAGAGCTCACCTGGGAGCACAGAACACGGCGCCCGCGTCAGGGGGTGCCCCCGGGGACGGCTAACCGAACTGCCTCCAGGGCCTTATGGCTGGGACCCCAAGCTTGCGTGCGAAAATGCGTGCAGCGACACCCGGCAGCCAGACCCTGACGGGCTGCGCAGAGTGGCTCCCAAGCTGGAGTGTCAGTGTCGGCGGCGATCGGGTGCCGTCGACGGGGGAGGGCACCTTGCTGGGCAGCGGGAGGCCGGTCTCGCCCATCTGGAGGGGGTGGCAGCTCCATCTGAGATGCGGCAGGTATCCAACTACACCACTCACTGTCCTGAGGTCACGCAGAGTCTGGCCCCAGACACGGTCCCTGCCCCTCTGCCCGCCTCTGCTTGGCCCTGGGTCTGTTTCATTCATTCATTTAACAAACATTTATGGAATCCTTTCTACTTGCTCTTCTCATCATGCGCCCCTGTAATAACATGGCTTTAACTTTGTGGGGTCAAAACCGGTCTGAATTTGCATCCCAGTTCCGCCTGTAAGACACCTCACTTGGGGACGTGAGTCTGGCACTTACTCATTCCCACATTTCCTGAACAATCAAACGCCCGGGGCACGGGGAAGACGAGGACGCGGGCGCTGCCGAGTGCCACGGGAGGCCCTGTGCGTGGGCTTGGGTGTGGGCAGCGACCCGCAGAGCCCAGCCTTGTGCGACCTGCACCACCGCAGGCAGTGCCCTCTCAGGGACCGAGAGCCACAAATGAGAACAGCATGATTTACTTGGGGAACACAGGCAAAAAATGTGAATTCAATCTGACATATGCCCATAGGACACACAGGTAGCATGTTAGCAAGGGATGGATTTTAAAATCGCCCTGTGGTAAAAGTTACCTGTAGCTAATGTTACCACTGCAGGCTCCTGGCACTTGCAGTCCAGGGCTGGAGGCAGTGCCTCGAACAAGACAGCAGCCAAGGTTCCTCTGGTGGAGCACCAGCTGAAGTATCAGGGCTGCTGCCTGGCTTGTGTGGTAAAGAAGGGCCCTGTATTGTTAGACACTAGCCCCCAACCCCGGCAGGCTGTGCGTTTCACTCGGCAAGGGGCTTCTGGGAGCTTGAGAGGCTTCAGAGGCTTCTGGAACCTGCGATGACTGAGGGCAAAGTCGAGCCTCAGCACTCCCGTGATCGCAGAGTAGAACGGTGGGCGGGCTTGCTTACCTCTCCACATCCCACCCCGCGGCCCCCAGACCTCGTGGTGGCCGAGCAAGTGCTGCTGAATTTGCATAAGTTAGACGTGAGCACATGCACTTCTGCTTTACTACCGCACACAACGAAGGCGCGCCTTTCCTCCGAAGGCCTGTGAGAGGGCCTTCTGGAGGAGGCTCCCTGGGGACTGGGTCCTGAAGGGGAAACATCTTATAATAACTGCACATGCGGGGGAGGTCAGAGGGAAGGCTGTCTCTGAAGGCCCAGAAATGTGCAAAAAACAAGCACATTTGGAAGGGGGTGGTGAGTAACTCTGACAAGATAACAGATGTAGCAGGAAAAACGGATTGCAGCCAAGTTGTAGAGGGTTCAGATCGACTTGGCAGTGATAAGGGACAGTGGAAAATGTTATTACAGTGATGTTAGGATCAAGTCAGGGGGAGGCAAAGTCAGAAGATGAGGGAACAGTCTCAACAAGAGATGGCACGCCCCTGGCAGTGGGGGAGGCAGCACTGCCAGCCCTGGCTCTCCATCCTGCCCTGCACCCTTGCTCCTTGCAACACGACTCTGGTTCCTCCCACTCGGTGGGTGAAGTGCATTTCCCTACCCTTTGATTTTGCATCAGACCATGTGCCCAGCTTTGGCCGATACCAAGACGCAACAATGACATGTGTTTTGACCTGTCTTCTTGTGCTGCCATTTCCATGAGAAGGACATGCTTAAGCTGGCTCCCTGGTGCAGAAAGGAGGGCGAGAGATCCGTGGAGCGGGGCCACCCTAGCTTACAGCAGCCAGCTTCAGAACCCCAGGCATGCCGTGAGAACCACCGAGCTGCCCCTGATTTAGATCAGCTGACCCAGGACATGGGAAATATAAAGGACTGTTGTTTTAAGCCACTGTTTGGGGGTGGCTTCCAGATGCAGGCAGTCAGTGGTACACAGAAGAGGCAGAGATTCACATGCTAATTAGGAGGCACATGCAAAGGGCCTCGGAACCCACAGGCCTCGGGGTGGGGGCAGGAAAAGTGAGAGAGGAGTGTACCTTGATGTTTCTAGCTTAGGCAATGGGTCAGATTTGATGCTTAACTGCAAGGTAGGAAATAGAGGGACAGCAGCAGGTTTGTGGGGAAGTTAAGGAGCTTGCTTCTGTGTTGGCTTCAGATGTGCAGTGGCTTCCAGGAGGGATGTTCTGTTGGCAGCTGGACTTGTGCGTTGCTGAGGTGACGGGCCGAGTTTAAGGAGGGCCCGGTTACCTTTAGATCATAGGCTGGCTTGGGCGGCCTTATCTGATAAGTGTGCACCTCCACAGTGATGAGTTTGAAAATCCATCATGACTGCTTAAGGAACAATCGGAATTCATGGATGGTTCTGGTCCTCTGCTTGCCCCCCTGCTTACCTGGCTACTTTCTGTCTCACTGGACATTAGCAAATGTTTAGTTGAAACAAAAACAGTGGAAATGCAAACCAAGAACATTTTCCACCAGTCAGTAACTCCAGTACTGGAGAAGGTACCACAGTCATGTAAAGCACACATTTCCCTTTTAGACAGGGCCTTGACCTCCCCACTGTGGAGATGTCACTTTGCTAAATATTAATCCCTGCTTGATATAAATGGAAAGGGGCAGAAAAGCTTTGAGCAATTGGAGGATGAAGACATTTACTTGTGAAAAGTAGATGGTTTCTGGGAGGGCAGGAAAGGCCGTATAGAGTAGAAAGAGTATTTGGGAAAAGAAGAGGCCAGAGCAGGCAGGCTGTTGCATTAGGGTCCCGACCCTGCCAGGTGGTGCACAGGGCAGTGCGGATGAGGAGACCTTGTGAGCTGACACACACATGACACATGGGCAGGCACTTCTCCATGCATATACTGTGACCCCACTGAATCCTCACAACAACCCCACTGGGGGGCTGCTATTGTCCCCATTTTAGAGAGCAGAGACTGAGGCACCACGAGGTGCAGTGACCTGCCAAGAAGTCTGTGCGCAGCCGCCCCATGGCCCTGCGGGGAGTGGCTCACTCCGCGCTGCACTCGTTTCACAGCAGCATGAGCAGCTCCCCTCTCCATCCACTTCTGGCCTTGCAATGGCTACCTCACCTGTCTCTACTGCCCTCCCACCGCCTCTGACCGGCTTGCTTCTCAGCCGCCCTTCCCCCCGCTTCATGCCCTGGACACCAGTTACCTCTCTTTCTTCTGGCCCTGGGCCTCGGAGGATGAATAATCTGGTGGCACATGCCCAGGCCCCTACATCTGAGCACTGCCCTCGGGGGCCACTCAGGTCAGTGCCGCAGGCAGGCGGCCATGAAAGAGAAGCTGAAGAGGGACACAGAGCCTGCAGAGGGGTGTGAGGGGCCTGGGCGGGCAGAGGCCCGGATAAGGTGGCGCCTGAGTCTCTGAGACAGTCGTCAGGGTGGCTGGTGCCCTCCCTCCCCAGCGGCCACACAAAGGCTTCCCAGGGAGCAGTAACAGAGGCCTTGCTGACGCCTGCACAGCTGAGCAACTGTCTCCAGCTCTGCAAAAGGACAAGATGCCCGGCCTCAGAGCAGGGGGCAGGCGAAAGGCCTTGGCCAGGCCCCAGCTCACCCAGGCAGCCTGGGAGGCCACCAAGAATGAGCCAGGAGGACCTGACCCCGGAGCTGCCTCGGCCCTGCGTGACCAGGGAGAGCGAGAGGCGGAAATGCTGCCCGGAGGAGAGACTAGACAAAGTGGTGGCATTAGTATGCTCCAGCCATCGCCACCATGTGCCCACTGCCTGGGACCCTGAAACAGACTGGCTCCAAGGGCCACACAGGCAGCTACAGGTGGTCCCTGGGTGCCAGGCTCATGCACACCCCAGGTGAAGTCTGCCTCTGTGGGGCTGCTTGTAAGCCAAGTGTTAGAGGGAAGGACAATGTGAGCAGTGGTCACAGGAGGCCTCCTGCCTCCCGGAGGAGCAGAGACGCCACTACTGGGGGGCCTGCTCGGGCTTCGTCACATCTATCACACATCTCCCTGGAGGAACTCCAAGGGCACCTGTCCACTCAGGGTCAGCCACAGACCAGGAGAGGGCTGGGCAGCAGACAGACCTCTGGGCTCTGGTCAGAGGACAGGAGCCACTCACATGTGATATACTCACAAATATCAGCAAAGCTTTCAAATTAGTTTGTGCTTCCCAAGAGAAGGAAGATTCTGGCCCATGGGATCACACCTGCTCGGATTGCACCTGCTTCGGTCACACCTGCTCGGATCGCGCCTGCTCAGATCATACCTACTCAGATCATACCTACCTAAAGCTTCCAAAAGCTTTACAAACACCTCATTTAACCTTTGAAGCAACACCACGATAAAGGTTTATTCACCCCCATTTTGCAGGTAAAATGCCACCTGACTTGTCAAAGGTTGGCCACCTGGCCCGTGCAGAGCAGGCTGTCTGTACTCCTTGGGATCACACCTGCTCAGATGGCGCTTGCTTGGATCACACCTGCTTGGATCACACCTACCCGGTGCTTTCTCACATCTCAAGTCCACCCTCTTTGGGTGGACCATCCTGTTGGTTTCCTGCCCTGAGCCTCAGCCTGCTTGGCTGGGCTGTGAAACTGTGGCTTAGCTCATTCAGGCAAAATGGAGGGAGACTCAGCTCGGGATGGGCCGATTCTAGCGCCCCTGACCCGCGTGGACGTCCTAAGCTGGAGTCTGGTGCGGTGGGAGGGGGTGAGGTCTTCTGCCTAGAGACCGATGCTGGAGCTCCCCGCTCGGCTACCTCAGACTGCCTGCCGGGACCCCTCCCTGACATTCCCTGCATCTGGGGCTTCACACCAGCCTTGCCTGTGCTGCCCCCAACTGTCCGGTG